AATGATCACATAACTCCTATCCTGGAGTCCTTGCACTGGCTTCCTGTCAGGTTTTGTGTCGACTTCAAAATCCTCCTGCTCACCTCTAAGGCTCTGCTTGGCTTGGCGCCTCAGTACCTGTCTGAGCTACTATTGCCCTACACCCCATCTCACAACCTTCTCTCTTCTAATTCTGGTCTCTTATCTGTCCCCCAAGCCCGTCTACACTCGAGGGGTGACAGGGCTTTTCCTGCTGCACCCCAAGCTCTGGAACTCTCTCCCCAGGGATATCAGAGAGTCACCTTCTCTGAACTCCTTCAAATCCAGACTCAAAACCTTCTTTAGAAGAGCCTTTACTTAACTGGTTCTGTTCTTTACCCCTCTGTATTCTCCATTATCTCCTCTCACTGTGTATATATTGTTTTTTGGGTTGTTGTTCTGTATAGCACTTTGAGAAGCCACCTTCAAACGCGCTATATAAAATAAAGTTTTTTTCTTGTAATAAGAAACTTGTGCTCTACTCTGGAGTTATTACATGTATCGCTACGAGGAGCTACTGAGAAAACACACCCGCCTGCGACCAAGTTCCCCTTCTCTCCAAGGACAACCAGGGGTCCTCTGTGTCCCAGTCTGGAGGCGTCTGCTGTTTTTCAGAAGCCTGAAGGCCGAGCCGTTCGGTCAACGATAATGAGATCAGCAGGCGCCTGGCACCTGGCTCTCCTCACACTGACGGGCCAGGGGCGCAGTGCTGCCAGGGCTCCAGGCTCCCGGCCGGCACCACTGGAGCTTCCGAAGCTGTCAGGACATCGGACGGGGGGAGATCCAGTCTGATAGCCCACCAGATGAGGAGCAGTACTGCGTGTGTCTGTTCAGGGAAAAGGCTCCGAGTATCAGCAGCTTCCAGGACAGCCCAACACAAGGACAGATGGGTACTCCTTGATCAGTCTGCTTGATTGATCTGCTCTGTAGGCACACACAAGCTCTACAGCACGTTCCGGATAACAAGACACACCAGAGAGCAGTTCATGTTCTAAAATGCTGAAATAAAAGGAATGTGTGATATTGGGGTTTTGAATAAAAAATGCAGCACACTGGCCAGATTCTAGTGGACAGGTTTGCCCCCCAAAAGGCCTTTCCAGGTGAAGGGGTGCAGTCTGTGTTCCCCTAGACCTGGCCAGGACAGGAGACCCCCACAGTCAGAGACCAGCGAGGGGAGGGAGAGACACATGAGAGAAGACAAATGACATGCAGGACGACTGTTTCTGTTCATTTATTTTGATGATGTTTCTGCTATATTTAAATATCATTCGAGGTGTAGAAACACAATGCAAGAGGGTATAAATAAACCAGACACAGCACAGAGACTCCACGGACAAACACTACAGTCTCACAGCAGTTTCGTTTCTTATCTGCTAGGCAATGAACTAGCTGAAGAATCTTTCAGTTTCACTAAGAAACTGGGTTCTTTATTGAATGCTCAAGGTGGTGGACCCGAGGTTTGGAAAGCTGTGTGTGAGGTCAGAGCTCACCATGAGGCTAACAGTGCATCAGGAAAGTAAACTGTTATTATGTCGAATATTTCTCAAGTTGTGTTGTTGTTGTAGCTTTAGCTCAAGCAACTATGTTCTAACTTGTCGAATTCTGAAATGACATTCTGATAATTGTAGTGCTGGCTTGGGAAGAAACAACATTTTTTTTTCTGATTTCACAAACATTATTTAAAAGTGATATAAATGACGGCCGGGCCTGTAGAAAACTCAAGGAAGGTGTTTAGTCAGCAGAGAGTGAAGAGCTCTTGTTGTCTGGCTAGGGCTCATGGAATATTTAATATGGAAATGCGACTTTCTCACAAATGACAATCTGTAGGGAATAAATTATAGTGAGGATCCAGAGGCAGAGAACCAGAGAAAGAGGGCGAGAGAAACGCAGACAGACAGCAATGGCTCAATAACCATTCTACTGAAAACAATTCAAACAGACATCTAGCATCAGCTCTTTTAAGTGCTTTGTCAAAACTAGTGCTCTAGACCACAAAAATGTTAATTAATTAATAAGCATTTTGTGGTGCTATTAAAGCACTTACATGCACTATTTGGCAGTGCTCTAGGCCGCCTTTTAACAGATTTATTAACAGCAGAGACCGGAGATCAGAGTGCCAGAGCATGCCATGCTGCGAGGAGGAGGTACTCTGGCTTGCCCCTGGCCCTTCCTGTTCCTGCGATCAGCTGGCAAGACCATCTTCACAGCGGGACAACACCCACCCCGAGCTGCCTGCGGAGAGGACCCACTTACACAGCACGAGCAACAGCCTAACATTCTGCAGAAAGCAAGCTGCCTCCAATTCCAAAGGCAACCATACAACAACAAGCGAGGGGGTTCCTTTGCTGGGGGGGTGGGGGTGGGATAAACATCTGAGGAGACAAAATGATGTTTCCACGTGTCAGCACCTGTGTCATGTGAGGACTACACACCCTCTCCCTAATTGCTGATTTTTCTGGAGGAGCAGTGATCTCAGACAACAACAAAACTGTAGGAGACACATCAGTGTTGACACACGCTACCCTCCAGTGCACACACACAGCCCGGTTCTTCAGTACCAGCACGATCTTTATCCAATCTAATTTCCCCTCTCTCCCCCCGACACATCTCAAACACCAACTCCAGATTGTTCTGCACAAGTGCAGCACACAGACTCGATTTACTTCATACTTCTAAGTCAGGAATCTTTAAATAAATAATCACCGGAAAAACACTGATCTGAAAAAAAACTGAGCTCTTCTTATTTTTTCATGTCAGGAGAAAACAAAGTGGAAATGTCTGCTGTCCTGTAGTGAGAGGTCTAGTTAGCGCAGCTGCCAGGGAGATCTGTTCCATGGTACTTCGTTAACGGCCTTTGGGAAATCAGCTCTGACAGTGACCCAGTCTTGTGAAGAAAGAAAAACACGTTTTCAACAGAAAGAAATCTTCTTCTTGTGCTTTTGAAAATATTAAAGATAGAAAAATTGGTTCATAAAAAAACATCCAAAACTGACATGTCAGCAACCTCAATGAGATGTTCTCATCATGTTCATGATACAGTCCTGGACACAATCTTTTGGCGCCTTTTCCCAATGTCAGACTGAGAGTCCTTGCAAACCCATTTAACTCGAGGACGGATTGCTTTAGGGCCCCGGGACCTTGTCTTTCACCCTGGTCCTGTCTCCATCCAATCAGCTCTGCCTTGCCAAGATACTAAGCCCGGGGCTGCAGAGCTCATCTCAGGCAGCCTCAGCCACACGCCTGGTCTCTGACACGCTCTGACATCAGAGAAGAGAACTGCAAACTCCACACTTCTGACATCTAAGTTACACTTCTGCTTTTAGGAACTTCTCCTTTTACACAGATAAAACACAGCACAGACCTCCTGCACTCATCGTGTGACCCTAGATGTCACCGTCTCACAGGAGACAGGGCCAAAGACAGTGGCATGGAAAAAGCAGATCTAGATTTCACACCTGACAGCTCATTGGAAGACCATTTTCTGATATTTCTGTTAAGATATTGCTGCCAACACCTGACATCAGTTGTGTCAATTCCTGGACAGCCATACTGGTGTCTTTTTTTTGTTCCACCCTTAGTGGTCAATTAAGTAACTTATTATCTTTGGTAGGCGTATCCAGAATGTTCTGTAAGGCTATCACAGTGCCTTAGCAACCATGTCACCCTGTAGCTCACAACTGGCAGCCTACTGGAGCTCAGCAGGTGTGAGCCTGGTCAGTACCTGGATGGGAGACTCCTGGGAAAAACTAAGGTTGCTGGTGGAAGAGGTTTTAATGGGACCAGTAAAGTGGTCTGTGTGGGTTCTAATGCCCCAGTATAATGACGGGGACACTATACTGTTAAAAAGTTTAAATGAGACATAAAAATGGGGTCCTGACTCTCTGTGGTCATTAAAAATCCCAGGGCGTTTCTTGAAACGAGTAGGGGTGTTACCAATCATGGCCACCTAATAATCCCCTTATCTGAACTGGCTTCATCACTCTGCTCTCCTCCCCACTGAGAGCTGGTGCGTGGGGAGCGTACTGGTGCACTCTGGCTGCTGTCTCATCATCCAGGTGGGGCTGCACACTAGTGGTGGTGGAGGGGATCCCCATTACCTGTAAAGTATAGTGGAGTGTGCAGAAAAGCACTATATATAATTGTTAGGGCTTTAGTTAGAAAATCACGTCATTCAAAGGAGAGTGTCCTCCACCTCTATCGAGCTCAGAGCCCAGTTAGGAGGATCACAGTCGGGGAGACAGTTTCGCATCTCTAGCAAGAAAACACACGACAATATGAACGATAACACAAGATTTGTAAAAGGGAACACAAAATACCGTCACAACACCCGAAAATTGTCATGCTTCGCCGCGTAAAGAAGAACACTCCACCAAATCGGGCTTGTCGATACCTGTGCTTTATTTGAATGAGTTCAACATGTAAATAACGTTTTTTTTTTTCCCCGTCGGCAGGTAGGCGCGCTGTCTCGCACTTCGTTAGAAGACGAATGTTTCCGAATGGCACAGAAACAACTCAGGAAGACCCCCAATGCTTTTCTAGCGCATGCACGAAAAACATAACCCGTAGTACGCTGAGACCATGAACACAATGGTAGAAAAATACGAGTTCGGAAACAAATATTTAACAAGATTTGCTAAATAAAACTTAGCATGTATTGGCATCTAAAAGGCGTCATATCGTTAGAAGAGATTTTGTTACAGATTCTCTGAGCAGACGTGAAACAGAATGTTTTAAAAATAAATCAAATATTAATCTTTTCTTAAAATAAAATGAAACCAAGACACAATGTGCCCAGTATCTCGATTCTGAAGATTCAGAAGCTTGGTGGAACACACGTTATTATTAAATTATTAGTAGTAGCCCCGCGCGGCTCTCGAGCAGGCAGGCTGCCGCGCTGGACACGCTTGCGCGCGGCGACACGCCAGGCGGAGCGCGCCTGCGCACAGCGGAGCGGAGTGAGAATTGTGAATGGGGGGAGCCCTGGGTGTGCAGTCGTAAGTACGACTCAGAGGAGCCAGGAAGTAACTTCGAGCTGAGCTGCGCAGAGAGACGGTTACGGGGAAAAAACGCGGAGAGCCAGCATCGTTGTTGAAGGAGGACGGGCGCACACGCTGGACGTGAGGGGTAGCCTAGCCAGGCACCAAACCGACCCGACACTCTCTCGGACTGGGGGGCTGAGCGCGGCGCCCCGCTGGAACCCCTCACACAGAGCGGACTGTACCTTACCTCACACGAGAGGAAGGAAGAAAGTTTAGAAGCGGGATCTGGGAGAGTTGCAAAGCTTTCTCTGGCGCTCGAATCGGTTTTCTTTTCCTCTCATTTTTTTGGGGGGGGTGAATAATTGTAAAGATGCCCCGAGTGGTCCCCGATCAGAGGAGCAAGTTTGAAAACGAGGAGTTCTTCAGGAAACTGAGCCGGGAGTGCGAGGTGAGCAAGTATTTCAGTGAACACATCTGTGCTGAAGTGGCGGAAAAGATGCTCGCTTTCAGTGCAGCATCACGCTGAAGTTTGGGGGACGGGGGCTGTACGTCTTGCCCTGCGCCCGGTGGGAGATGAGCGTGGGATTTTGCTCTTTTAAATGTGACTTAACCGCGTGAGCTTTGATGTCTGCTGGAGTGTGTTTGTGTTGAATCAGTGGAAATGTGCTGTTTTCGCAATAAACTTCCTGTTTGAAACGGGCGATGGGAATGGTCTAGCCGTCGTACTCTGGCTTGCTAACATTACCCTTTCGTTCTGTGCGTACTCAGGCGACTGTCTAGTAGTGTTTATTAAGCGTCGGGGTTTCCTGGTAATGTTTGTGGATATCCTGAAGAAGACCGCGCGAGTCAAAGGTTATTTTTAAAAGCCTCCAGTGGAGGGAGGGTGGGAAATGTGGCCGGAGAGACGGACTGAGCGAGGCAGATGCCGTGCGCTTCCTGCGGGGAGCTTGGCTCCGTGTCTGCGCAGCGCGGTGCCGAGGAAGAGACCCAGCCGGGAGCTCAGCGCTCCTGAGACGCCTGGCAGCAGGGGTGGGTGAGGGAGAGAGACAGCACCCTGTTTGTCAGCGCGGAAATCGCGCAGAATTTAAATACGGGTCAGGGGGCTGCCTGCTGGCTTTCGGGCAGACGCCAACGCGCATCTTTGATTGAGTTTTTCTTCTGCCCGTCTGCCCGTCTTCTTCTAGATCAAGTACACCGGCTTCCGAGACCGGCCCCACGAGGAGAGGCAAGCGCGTTTCCAGAACGCCTGTCGGGATGGGCGTTCAGAAATAGTAAGTGAGCTTGCCTTTAAACCCGTCTCCCCGTGCACCTCCAGCGGATGCTGGATTTTGAAAATCGGAATACAGACCTGAAGACCCTGATTCGCCCGGGAAAATGTTAACACAACTTTCACAACCTTGGAAATAAAAAGAATTTCGCTGTTTCCTTGTAAGAGCCGAGACGGCGGCTCGATGAATGAATTATGTCTGGACTGGTCTTAACACATCATTCGTCTCCTCCTTCCTTCGATATTTACAGGACTCTTTCGTAATTAGACCCCTGTAGCTTTATTATACAGTGTTGCTCAGCACACACATGACGGAAACGTCCAGACTGACGGATCTGACGGCCCAGTGCGGACCCTGTACTCATGAGCTATAGGTGCAAAATAACTGGGTGTCGAGAAGGTTGGTGTGGCTGCTTTTGTGGGACCAGAAACAGTAAACAGTGTACTATTATGATCATAATAGTAATTATTATTATAATTCTAATATTATTATTATTAGCAATAATATAACGAAATTCACATTTGTTTACGTGGCTTCTTAAGGATCTCTTATTTCCGCTCCGAGACACGACACAGTAACCAGTCTTTGAATCGCGGGGCGACTGGGGAAGCGATTGGAAAGCGGATCATGTCCAGATGTGTCTAAGTGGCACAACGAGAGTCTTCAGCAACCTGCCGCTGAAGTATTTTAAAAACCTGCCGTGTCCCGATGTTGATCCTAGTTTCATGTTGCAGCCATTAATATAAACCGGCATTATTGGATTGACTTTTGTCTCTGGATGAAGAATATTTCCAGGGAGAGTTTTTTTTTAATCAATACTCCGTGGATGACGTAATGATCAACAGTTCTTGTTCAGGCGCTGTGTATCTGAAAGCGCACTGAATTGGAGAGAAAGTAAGAAAGTACTGCTGGACAAAGCCTGGCAGTAAATGAAAGCGATTTGCTTAATGCAAATGCTACTCGGAGCTCCATTTCTTTACTGAGAGCGAAAGATGACCTAGCGTGGAAGTGTGAAAGTCGACTTCTCGCTCTGAAAGCCCAGCGCCCTGGCCACTCCGGCTCCGAGCGAGGTGGCACCGTGTCACTGTGGTCTTTTGTTTCAAGTACAGCCCCTGCTCTTTCTCAGAGATAATTATCCACAGGGGGCTGACTTGCCGCGAACAAGCTGTGAAGCCTACTGAATGAACCTGCCACACTTCCCTACTGACGTATATTAAATCCAGTTTTCATTATACAGGACAGGTCTGCTTAGTGTTTGCTCTTTGTTCCCTTGAGAGATGCCCCCTGTTTATTAAAAAAAAACATCTAGGTTAAAGCTAAATGATTTCCACACCTCTTTTTCTGAACACAAATCACCAGATTGCAGACTCAAAAGGGCTGGATTCAGGTACGTTCGATTACAAGAAACAAAGCTAGATTTGTTAGGGGGTTTTTCAAAGTGATATTAAAAAAAAAGAAGTGTATACGTTTTTATTTCCAGATGCGCAGTCTGGATCATACTTCGAGCACAGCGCCAGGCTTTCAGACTCCCGGTTATTAATGTCAGCAGAAGGACTAATTTAAAATAATATATTGATTTTTTTTTTTCTTACGGCAGTATCCTGTGTCCCTTGCAGCCAGTGGTGAATGTTGGTAAAATAGAATCAGATGTTTGAAACTCGATATTTAAAAAGAAAATGATGACTCTGGAGTGTTTTTCTGGTGCTCTCTGAAGGCTGCTGGCTCGTGGCTCTCAGTGATGTAAAAAATAAATGACTTGACTGCATAATTTATGTCTCGTTCAGCTTCTGATCCTGTTTGTATTGATTTTTCTAAAAGGCTTTTGTGGCGACAGGAACCAACCTCTCCCTGCAGTTCTTCCCGGCGAACCTGCACGGAGACCAGCGACAGGCTCCCAGCCGGGAGTACGTGGACTTCGAGCGCGAGACCGGGAAGGTAACCCTCCGCCCGCCGGGAATTCTCTTCCCGAGATTCGCTCCTCCGTCGGTCCCCAGGCGTCACCTCACACCCGCCTGCTTGGAGCTTTTCGCTAATCTGCTCTCCACCCGCCAGCGTCCTGCCTCGGAACCTGATATCCCGGGCGCGAGGCTCCCGGTGCTCCTGTCTCATCCCTGTGGGAGTGTCGGCAGGGCCGCGGCTCCCACTCGCGGAGCGTCCGTCACAGGCGGGCAGCTGGACCTGAGAGGTCGGGGTTGGGGGGCTATCGTTGCTGTATTTTAATACAACCGGCGACCTTAGTTGTTATATGGGACCTTATGGGCGAGATACTGCATTCTTTCAGATCTAAGAGCTTTTTTAAAACGCGGTTTCCCCGCAAACGTGACCGTGCGCCTCGGCTCCGAGCGCTGGCGAGTTCGAGGTGCGTTCGAGTCCCGAAACTGCCGCGCTCCCCGCCCCCTGCCCTCAGCCTGCCAGCCCTCCTGCTACAGCCCAGCGCCAAGCCCACGGACAAGGGGAGGTGGCCCGGCCTGTTCGTCTGGGCTTGGCTTCTCTCTAGAGGCACCGTCAGCGCTTGCTGTAGGGGGGGATATCCCGTCGAACCCGCGTGTCTGGGGGAGGCAGGAGGAAACCAGAGCGTCTGGTGCAAACTCACTCTGGCATGGGGGGGAACATGCAAACTCCACACAGACAGGTTTGTCACGCCGGATTAGAACCCACGGCTGTGAGGCAGCAGTGGTGACCACTGTGCTTCCAGGCTGTCCACTGTCCAAGTACTAACCAGGCCCGACCGCTGAGCTCTTGAGGTGAGACACAACTGGGGCTTAAAGCAAGATTATTTACTACAGCCAGGCCTCTAATAGAAATACACAGGGCAGCCAGCATGAAGCCTCTGCTCCTCGCTCTGTTATTCCTGAGGCTTCCTTGCACAGCCCGAGGGGGAGAGAGGGTCGCCAAAGGCAGGTTGGCCTCGCCCGCAGCTCCGTGGGACGGAGCTGGAACTGTCCCCGCTGGGAACAGGAGGCTCTCCAGCGTGAGGGCGGCTCCCCGCTCTGTGGGCCGCTGGGCGCGCTGGAGTTTGTGGCTGCTTGCTCGCTCCCTCTGTGAAGGCCGCATTCATTGGCGCCGACGTTTCAAAATGAATTCATTTATTGCAGCGCGAGAGGGGGGCAGTGTTCCCCCCTCGTTGCTTAGGTATTTAGAGTAGGCTTGCATTTTTCTTCTCCGGGGCATCTTGATTTATTCCTTGTGGTTTTGTGAGGGCACCGCGAAGCCGTGCAGGCCCAGCTGTGGCGAGGTGCTGTGAGTTTGGAAAAGGCGTGCGATTCCTTCAGTGCGCAAGTCGCCTACTTCGGCTCCCCCTCCTGGGTTCGAATCTGCTGTCTTTCCTGCTGTCTGAAAAACAAGATAAGCAGTTCCTTGACTCTGTAAGCAGCAGAATGTCCCATCTGACGTGGTGGGTTCTGTGTGTGTGTGGAGGCTGAAGGAGCTGTATTAAATTCCACTTTCCTTTCCTCCGCTGTTCGAAATTCGCTGGCAGAGGAATTGGTCCTGTTAAAACTTGGCTGCCCACCCCCCCCCCAACCACATGGCAGCAGTATTATCGCAGGAGCGTCTCTTCCACAAGCACCCCGCTGCAGGAGCAGTTCAGTACAGGGTCGGAGTGTCACAACAGGCTAATGCAGACCAGCTGTGGGAGGTTAATTTGAGTGGTCACAGGGCCTGGAGAGGGAGCTGTGGGAGCCCTGTCCGGCAGCCTCCTCCTGCTCTCCTGGCTGGTCTGGTCTGGTCACACGTATTGACCTGCTTCCTCCTGGATTGGTCCGGTTCTGATCGCTCTCGGCGAGGCACATATTGGAAAGTTCTGTCTCGATTCCAATCGCTCTCGGAGAGGCACATATTGGCAAGTTCTGTCTCGATTCCAATCGCTCTCGGAGAGGCACATATTGATCTGGTTCTGATGACTCTTGGAGAGGCACATATTGATCTGGTTCTGATGACTCTCGGAGAGGCACATATTGATCTGGTTCTGAT